AATGTATATCATAAACATTATCAAGCCATAAATCATTTCAAATGAAACAGTCTATGAAATGTGTAAAAATATGAGGATATGTATCCACAGAGAATTTTTATCCATAAAACTGAAAATAAATTTCAAACAGTGTTCTTAAAGTATTAAATCATACAAAAGGAAAGTAATTTTTTTAATATCGGGGTTTTGTTTCCTAAAGAAAGCAACACTGGTTGCTTCATGATTATTTGTTGTCAGCTAATATGATACTATTATTGCTACATAATATTTTATGTAAATGGTCTACTTCCCACCGGCATCATGAAAGAAAATGTGTTTGTTGTATATGACACAAACAAAAATATTACTGCCCATTAAAGACAAAACCTAATTAGCTATAATTTATTATATCAATCCCAGTTTCTAGTACACTGACTTTTAAATTATACTCTATAATAAATATTAATCTTTCTAACATTTACACAAATTAATACTTCTATCTTTTTAACATGATATACTAGGATACTGTCATGGACTCATGTAGTCTTCAGTTTCAGGGAGCTTATAGATTATGTATACATATAAAGTTTTAATTATCTATTCAATTCACTTGTGTCGAGCTCATTAATATGTTTCTCTCACACATCCACGCAAATACTGCACAACTGTCTACTTATAACGTGACCTCTTCCACTTGGGTGGGTATCCTCTCCATCACCAACTAAGTGAGGATGTAACCTTGTCAAACCAAAGGCAAAAGAATAATGAGCACACACAGGCTAGCCCAGCATGGAGAAAGTTGCCAGGGAGGTTGCAAAAAGAGTACGCTGAAAGACAAAATAGAAATATACTCCAATGAGTAGGTTGCTTAAATCAAGCACTCAACATGAGGCACATTTAAGCCCCATCCTTGGATGTCTGCCACACAGAACTCCACTCAAATTGTATTTATTTCATTGTTATTCAAGTAGATTTGGTTATTGTGTTTTCAAATAAATCCTAAGAAAACCCCTTGGAAAGAAACTCAGTTACAGAATACTTACTTATTGTCATAGAGCACTAGCCAAAGGTAAGTATGAACAATGCGTTGTTTTTACCAAACAATTTTAAATGATCGTCCCACACAAAAGAATCACTCCAATTCAAGAACCAGAACTGTATGTTGGGAACGTGCTCAACAAACAGTGGTTTTACACGATTGCTAAAGCGAACGGCAAGGCCACTGTCACCGTCATTGCGCCCCAGTGGCAGGACAGGAACGCAAATGAACACATTTTCATAAGTAGCTAAAACCAAAAGAAATCCGGCGCATTCTGTTGCAGTAACATGAGCTTACTTAGAAAACACAAAAAAGCGTCTCAAACGCAAACCGCCCGAGCACATCCTCCTCTAGGAACATGCGTTGCATCATTGTGTCAGCCAGGCATGCTTTGACACACTCCAAGCAGAGTGGAATTTCACTGCCTCCCAATCGCCACATTTTCACAGAGAAACAGTGCCACCTTTTGGCCCCAAACAAAAGCCTCCATTCATTGAGTATTCCAAGTTTCCTTTTTCAATACAACTCCTGATATAAATAAATGTCATTGAATGCCATGCCATAATTATCAGGTTCCAGAACTACCTCATAGTGACAACCAGGAAAATGGGTAGGCAACAAAAAAGTTGCCTACCAAGAATCCAGATTTCAAAACAATCCAAAGTAATACCAAGTGCATGCATTTTTAATCATCAATATAATCATTTCTAATCACATTTCCCCTAAACACGCTTTGGCAAACCTAAGAATACCAATAAGTTGATGTAATAAATATATTTTAAGTATAACAGAGATATCCTTTCATATTTTTTCTGCATTATTATATGGCAAAAGTGATTTTAGAACACATTATTTTTTCAAACATGTGCATTAGTTCTATGATTGGCAATATTATATGTACAGCCATGCCAGCAAATAAATCAATATAAATACAAATAACTTCATATACAATAAAGAAAGTTTCCGATTTACTTACACCAACGACACAATGTCACCACGCTGCACTTCAAAATTCCTCACTTTCCAGTGGTTCAGAAGCACTACGTCAGATGACTGGCTCCCTCCGGGATTCAAAGAAGGCTACAAAATGAGATGGAAGAGACATAGTTATCATTTGTAATTTTCAATCGTCACAGTTTCTGGCCCTTTATAGCTCTAGTGGAATGCAGTGAGACATTTGTCATGTGTGCCTTTCAATAAATTGTTATTCTAAAGTACCTCCAATGATGAACATTCAAAAACGCTCATCAAGATGCTTCACAGGTGAACCAGAATAAGTTACCAATATACTGACTTGAAAGGAATACATGCTTGATGTTCATACATTTACCAAAATCCAGGAAAGATGTATAAAAAGCTTTACGAAGTACTAAAAGCCATAGAGAAGTGAGTCGAATCTCCTAACATTCATTTAGATGAGATCTAATGCCACAAGAAGTACACACCAGAAATCCGAGATGGGGGCAGAAGATCTATTACTGCCACCAGACGGAGCTTGGCTGAAAGCAGAGAAAACCAGGGGGCAGGGGGGGGCAGGGAGGGGAGGGGAGTGGCGTGGCGTGGAAACCACATCCGACCTCCTCTGCCCACGCACATAATGAAGAGGGAGCCCCAAGTCCACACCAGCCCTAGGACAATTGCCACAGACAGATGTCAGACAGGACTGCACCTTCCAAATGTCTTTACCCCACTCCTTCCTTCCAAGGCACTCTATTTTTCTGCTGTGGTCAACACACCGCGCTC